AGGTGGTCAAGATGAACTCGCCGCTTTGCCAGATATTCATCAAGCCCTTCTCCAAGCCCTGGGTCCTGGTGGCCGACTTCCGGGAGGCCAAGGACATCCTGACGCGCCGCCGAGAGTTCGATAAGTCGTCTTTCCTCTCCGACGGCATGGCGTGCATGGGGTATTTCCACGGCATTTACACCACCGGGGACAAGTTCAAGGCGAATCGCCAGCTGATCCAGGACCTCATGACCTCCAGCTTCCTCGACAACCACGTTGGACCTGCGGTCTTGGCCAAGGGCCTCGAGCTCCTGGACCTGTGGCGACTGAGAGCCAAACTGGCAAGGGGGCGTCCGTTCAGCGTCAGAAAAGATCTCGAGTACACCTCGCTCGACGTCATGATCCACTTCGCCTTTGGCAGCAACTGGAAGCACACGGCACTCGGTCCGCAAGTGGAGCTCCTCGGGGGGCTGGCGTTGGAGGACGTCGACATCAAGACGGCGGACGAGCCCGTCGGTTTCCCAACGGTCCCCCTCGCCGACTTCCTGAACTCCGTCTACGAGGCCCCCGAGGTTGTAGAGAAGACCATCAACGCCCTCATGCCGAAGCTGCAGAGCTGGTGGTGGTCGAAGCAGTCGTGGTACAGGCACATCTTTGACGAGAAAGAGCGCGTCATGAAGGAGCAAGTCGCGATTGGGGTGGACCACTACCGCTCCGGGCGCGTCGAGACGGGAATCGAGCACATGCTGGTGCGAGAAGCGGCTCGGGCTGAGAAAGAAGGCCGGCCGGTCGACTTTGAAAGCAAAGTCCTCCGAGACGAGGTGAGCCGCAAAGCCCCCCCTTTGGCATTATGTGACGCCATGACATGATGCTAACAAAGACCGACAGATGTTTGGCAACATCATTGGCGGCCACCACACGACCGGCGGAGCAATGATGTGGCTGACCAAGTATTTGACCACCTCGCCCGAGATACAGAACAAGCTACGCTCTGTGCTCTACGAGACGCTATCGGTCGCCAGACGGGAGAATCGTCTCTTCACATTCCAGGAAATCCGCCACGCGAAGCTCCCTTACCTAGACGCCGTCATCGAGGAAACGCTGCGCATCAATGCCGTCCCCGTGACGAGAGAAGCCATGTGCGACACCACGGTCCTCGGGCGCCCCATCCGGAAGGGAACCCAGGTCTTCTTCATGTCCAACGGGCCCGGCTTCCTCTCGCCGCCCTTCTCCGTCGACGACGGGGAGCGGAGCGAGCACTCGCGCGTGGCCAAGATGAACGCCGCGTGGGACGCCGTGCGGGACCCGGCGCTCTTCGACCCCGAGCGCTGGCTCATCCGCAAGAAGGGTGGGCAAGGTCTCTTGGCGGAGGACGTCGAGTTCGACGGCGCCGCCGGGCCGCAGCTGGTGTTCGGCCTCGGCCCGCGCAGCTGCTGGGGTAGGAGGCTGGCCTACATGGAAGTGAGGATCGTCGTTGCCATGGTTCTATGGAACTTCCGGCTGTTGCCAGTCCCGCCGGAGTTGTCGTCGTATGCTGGACTAGAGGGGATTGCGCGCGTACCGCAACAGTGCTATGTCAGGCTCAGCGAGATGTAAATTCGCGTTTCTTGAGTGTCCCTAAACTGAACTTTCTGAAGATACAATCCTATATTCCTATCTCCCACTGTTTTTCTGCCCTCGAGTCTAGGCAGCTTCGACGCAACTTGAGAATTCAAAGCCGGTGATCACGTCTACTCTGACATACCAGACCCCGTGAGCAACTTCTTGAAGCCATCATTCCAGACCGCGGCCCCTTGAGCACCGAAACCAACGCCGATTTCATTCCTCAGAGAGCCGTCCGGTGCTGTCCCTTCCAGGGTCACGAAGAACCGTTCAATGTATTCCTCGAGCGGCATGGGCTGGACTGCCTTGTCGCTGCCCCCCTGAAGCGCATCCGTCTGAGCACGGTGCGCGGCGTTCAGTGAGGTGTCGACGTAAGGGGGCACGATCTCAACGACGTTCATGTTGGCGCAACCGGTTGCCTGCAGCTGCATGCGCAGGACCTTGACGAAGGCGGCGACGCCGGCCTTGGAGGGGCAGTAGGTCGGGTAGAAGGGCACCGGGAAGTACGCCAGAGATGAGCTGGTGAGGAACATGTTCGTTTTGGTGCCGGACCTTGCCAGGGCGAGGAGATGCGGCGCAAAGTAATGCGCGGCGAGTATCTGAGCCGTGAGGTTGATTGTCATTTCCCTGATGACTTCCGCGTCATCGGGCGGCTGCGTAAACATGTCATAGTGGTTCTGGATGCCGGCGTTGACCAGGACGGTATCGAGGTTGGGGAATTCTGACAGGATGCTTTCGACCTCTTGTCGCATCTTTACAAGGTCTGCCAAGTCCCACTTGAATTGAAATTTCGACAATGAGCTCAGTCGGCCGACAGGGGCAGGAGAGATGGTCATCCATCGAGAGGAGAACTCACCACGCGGAATGTGAGGCCTGGAAGGTCTCGAGCAAGCTGTGCCAATGCCTCCCTGCTCTGCTCGCGCCCGGTAGCGATGACCTTCTTACCCAGGGCGTGGAACCGACGAGCCAGGGACTCGCCGATGCCGGTGGCGGCGCCAACGATTAAGATGGTGTCTATTCTGGAAGACATTGTGCCGGCTCAGAGCTCTGGGCTGCGAGTGGAATGAATCTGGTCTTGGACGAAGATGATGGCGCATCATGGCATCCTCTGAGCGCGCCGTCCAATGATATAAGAGCGAATGACAGTAGGCCCAAAAGTAAAGCGGTTGGCCGAAAGGGGTCAGAATCAGGCGTCGGCCGCACCGGGATATGCATGCAGTCAGCAGTGCAGCCGAACTCTTGCCCGCCGCAAAAGGACTCGTCGGCCGACGAAAGACGGTTGGACTGGGCACGGAAAGTGAAAGTTGCTCTCACACGCGACCCGGACTTTTCATTGTAGACATTTCCATGGCACTATCAGGAGAAGCAAATGTATTGGAACTACTCAAGGACGAGGGCTGTTCTAGAAGCCCTCTCTTTCGTCGCAATCGCTGGCATTGGAGCGCCCGGCGCTCTCACCTCGGGTCGTAAATTACGATCGCTCCAAGTAGACCTCAAGCAGACCCAGCGGCCCATTGTCAAAGGTATTGCGGATGACATATCTAGGATCCGCCTCCTTCAGCAGCGCCGCGAACTCGGCCTCGTTGCGCTGCTTGGCACCGCAATTAACCAACATGACCATGTCTACCTGCCGCACGATGCGCTCCTGGTGGCGGGGCCACTTGCCCGGCTCGGGAATGATGATGTCGTTGATGAGCAGCGGGGTGTCGGGGCTGGACCCCTCGAGCCCGGGAACGAACGACTTGAAGATGTTGACGACGTCCCGGTCTGCCCAGTTGTGCGTGCACTGGCGGATCAGGAAGGCGGCGGCATCTTTGACGGGCTGAGGGTCGAAGAAGCTGTGCTGGGAGTACGTCACTCGATCCCGGAGACTGTCTGGGAGCGATTCCTTGCCCTCGGAAAGCATTTCGGCGTTGGAATCTTGCACGACGAAGTTGAGGTCGGGATAGAGCTGTGGATATTAGATTTACTGCGGCAAATGGGCTCTAAGGTGGCAGTCGAGGAGGAGGAGGACGGGGAAACGGGCTTACTTGAGCCAAACTCTTGGAAATATGTCCGTTGCCGCCGCCGCAGTCGACCACGGTGCCTTTGATAGCGGACCAGTCGAAGCCGTCCTTGAGCAGGTAGTCGAGATGGCGATCCATCTTTCGCAAGCCCGCCATGGCCTTGGCGAAGCGGCGGGCCTTGTCCGGGTTGTTCTTGTAGAACTCAAAGATTCCCACGCCGTGCCGGGTGACGAACGGGTTGAGGTTCTGATGCGACTCGTGGGGGTTAGCCTTGAGGCTGACGTTGCAATCGGCTGCCGCCTTGAGCATCTCGTCGAGCGAGTAGTGGATGACCGAGCGGAGGTCCTCATCCTGCCTCATGGCGAGCGAGGTGGAGCTGTGAGAGATCATCCGCGGCCGGAGCTCGTCAAAGATGCGGTAGGTCATGAGTTGCCGGACGACGCGGCCGGTGCGGTCCACGTCCAGGCCGGCCTTGCCGGCCAGGTCCTCGAGGGCAATGTTTCCACTGGCCGGCACCAGCTCGAAGAAGTTGAAGTCGAGGGCGATCTGGAGGGCGCCCAGGTCGTAGCCGGTGCAGCAGAAGGCCCTGAGCCACTTGCTGGGGCCGTCTATAAGGTGCAGAAGGTCCTCGAGACGAGACTTGAGCGAGGCGTGGAGGCGGCGATAGTCCGGCGTATCGGGAGGGTCCTGAGAGCTGAGCGCAAACGTCGGCGCGGCAACGTTGTTGGCCTGGAAGTACTTGGTCATGTCCTGGGTGAGTTCCAGGACGTCCTGTGCCAGGCCCAGGATGGACGAGGACGGATCCTGAACAGCAACCGTGTTTGCGTGATCAGTCATTTTTTGCCCGAGATGTTCTTTGACGAATAAGCTGCCACGATTGAGTCTAGAACGAGAATCGTATGCTTGCGATTAATGGTCTTCAGGGCAAGGGTGGGTAAGGGGGGGAGAGTTGAGAAGATGAGATTTGCACGTACAACACCTCCGTGACATAAGCTTTGGGAACACTCCTTCTTGGTGTTTGTCCTTCCGAATGTGAGGACTCAAGAGTTGCAATGACCCGAACAGTCCGCCGGTCGGTTCCGTGGGCTGACCCGGCATCGGGCATGACGAATAAGGGCGTCGGCCGACAGCTCCAGAGTTGGTCGGTTTGTCTCGGCCGAAGAATCTCACACAGACAGACACAGACAGCAGTGTCCTGTTCAGGCAAAAGGTTACAGTCAAGATGGAATGGCGAAGGGACGGTCAGCGGTCGTGTAAAGAGAGCATGGAATGTGTCATCATACTGAATGTAGTCGTGCCCTGTTCGTCATTGCCGTAGAAGAATGCGGTATGCAAAGAGCACAGCTTCATTCAACATCACTGCTGAGTGCCTAACTGTTTGTCTCAGCTCTGTTGATCAAAGGTCAATTCATCATGACTCCCTCCCAGCACAACCGCGACCCGCACGAGCCGGTGGCTATCGTAGGCATGGGTAGGAGACCCTCATTCCCTTTCCCTCACTCTTGGAGTAGAACTGTGGACTGAAAGACTTGAACAGGATGCCGATGGCCGGGTGGTGTCCATGACACGTCTCAGTTTTGGGAGTTCTTGCGCAACAAGACGAACGGCTGGAAGGAATTCGACGAACCGCGCTTCTCAACACAGGGTTTCCATCATCCAAACCCCGATAGACCGGGTTCCATGTCCATGAAAGGCGCCTTTCTCGCTAAAGAGGACGCCCGGCTGTTTGACCACTCCTTTTTCGGCATGACAGGCCTCGAAGTAGAGACGATGGACCCGTCCCAGCGCAAGTTGCTCGAGGTGTCGTACGAAGCTATAGAGAATGCTGGAGAGACATGGGACAGCGTCTCTGGGTCTCGCACCGGAGTCTTTGTCGGCAACTTTTGCTTGGATCACTGGATGATCCAGTCGCGCGACTGGGATAACCCAAGACCGTACGCCTTCACCGGTGCTGGCACCAGCATCCTCGCCAACCGCATCAGCTACATCTTCAACCTTCAGGGGCCAAGGTGTGTTTGTTACTCTCCAGAGAATGTCCGACCATCCTACAGCGGCCGCTGACAAGTTCCCCTCTAGCCTGACTGTTGACACAGCCTGTTCGTCATCAATGTATGCTCTTCACCTGGCGGTCAACTCGATCCGAGCCGGGGATTGCGATGCCGCAATTGTGGCATCCGCCAACTGGATTGCGGATCCCGGCGTCCAGATCGCCCTCGACAAACTTGGCGCGCTTTCTGCGTCGTCGCGGTGTCACACCTTTGATGCCAGGGCCGAGGGCTACGCCCGAGGAGAAGGGTACGGGGCCATCTACCTGAAGAGGCCGTCGCTGGCCGTCGCCGACAGCTCGCCCATCCGCGCAATTATCCGGGGGACCGCCATCAACTCCAACGGCCGGACGGGCGGTATCACCAGGCCGAGCGCTCGTGGCCAGGAGATGGTCATCCGGGAAGCCTACCGCAGCGCCGGCGACCTCCCTTTCCGCGACACCAGCTACTTCGAGTGCCACGGAACGGGCACCTACGTCGGTGATCCGATCGAGGTGGCCGCCCTGGGGAGGGTGTTCGCCCCCGAGAGGTCCGCCGACGACCCTCTTCTTGTCGGCTCTGTCAAAAGCAACGTGGGCCACGGTGAAGGTGCCAGTGCTCTGGCATCCATCATGAAGGTAGTGCTCTCTCTCGAGAACGGCGCCATTGCCCCCTTGTTCGACCTTCAGACAAGAAACCCCAACATTGATTTCAAAGGCGCCAACGTCCTGCCGGTGACAGAGGTCACCCCGTGGCCCAAGGGCCGACCCCAAAGAGCAAGCATCAACTCGTTTGGGTACGGTGGCGCCAACGCTCACTGCATCATAGAGCATGTCAACATCATGCTGCCCGATTATGTAGCCCCTGGCGTCTATCAACGCAAAGCCAACGGTCATACCAATGGTCATACCAACGGTCATACCAACGGTCATACCAACGGCCACACCAACGGTTACGCCAACGAAACTCGCCAGGAGGAGCCAAGGGAACCTCTTTTGGCCATCCAAAAGCCAACCTTGGCTGCCTCGCCCAACGCAGCCACACGCCAGCTTGTACTCTTGCCGCTCTCGGCCCACACGGAACGTTCTTTCGAATCGAACCTCGCCGCCTTGTCGCGGGTCATCGACAAGGTCCCTCTGGCAAACGTCGCGTACACCCTCGCTTCCAGGCGCTCGAGGTTCGCCCAACGGTCATTCCGCATCGTGGACAGGGACAGCGTCGCCCAGGGACTCGCGACGCCTCACAAGATTACGCGGGCGCCTTTGCAGACGGCCAACCTGGGCTTTATCTTCACCGGCCAGGGAGCACAGTGGCACCGCATGGGACGCGAGCTGTTTGAGTTCCGTGTCTTCCGAAAAGCCATAGAGGATCTCGACCGCGTCCTCGGCTCGCTCGCGAACCCCCCCTCGTGGTCCCTGCTCAGCATCCTCTCCGGGGACTGCGAAGACGTCGCACTGGTCCAGACCGCCGAAATATCCCAGGCCGTGTGCACCGCCGCGCAGATCGGTCTTGTCGACCTACTTGCCTTGTGGTCCATCAGGCCTTCCGGTGTTGCCGGGCATTCATCCGGAGAGATAGCGGCGGCATACGCTGCTGGCCGCATCACAGCGGCCGAGGCCATTGTGGCTGCATACTTTCGTGGCCAGGCGGTCGCGAGGAACAGCCAACAGGGCGCAATGCTGGCCGTGGGTCTCGGAGTCGAGCAGGTGTCACCGTACCTCGACAGCAGAGAAGACGAAGTCAAAGTCGCAGCTATCAACTCCCCAGGTAGCGTGACTTTATCCGGGGAACCGGCCGCCATCAGGGACATCTCTGCAGCCATGACGGCGGACGGCGTCTTCAACCGTCCACTTCAAACCGGCGGCAATGCCTATCACTCACACCACATGCTGCCAATCGGACGGGAGTACTCGGAGATGCTCGCCAAGGGACTCGAAAGCGTCCAAGACATTGGGCCGGACTCTCCAAGGAGGGGTCGCTACGAACCTACTTTGTGGATATCGTCAGTGACACCTGCCAAGAGCACCACCGAGTTCGGCGATGCGGCATCGTACTGGAGAGCTAATCTAGAGTCTCCAGTCCTCTTCTCAGAGGCGGTTACGAGGCTCGTGAGCAGAGAAGATGTTCCCATTAACGTGCTTGTGGAGATTGGTCCTCACCCGGCATTGAAGACACCCTTAGAGCAGATCCTGAAGGATGCCGGCAAGACCGTCGCGTACGCATCGACGTTGAAGCGACAAGAGGATGGTCGTCGCTCGGTGCTGCAGTGCGTCGGTACCTTATTTTGTCTCAACGCAAGCGTCGACCTCGCTGCTGTCAACGCTGTCGACATCGCAGATTGGTCAGGGTTGGAACACGGCCATGTCAGCTCCGACCTTCCACCATACCAGTACACCTACGGGGGCCTGAACTACCACGAGAGCCGGGTCAGTAAGGAGTATCGCTCTCGGTCCATCCTCAGGCACGATCTCCTGGGTTCCAAAGTTGCCGGCAACGCTAAACTGCGGCCTCAATGGCGGAACATACTCCGCATAAAAGACGTCCCGTGGCTGGGTGATCATCGCCTTGTGCCAGGTAAGCTGATCCATATCTGGGCCCGATACGAGCCAGAACAGCGCACACTAACCGGTGGTGACTTTGCTTTACAGATGCCGTGCTGCCAGCGGCAGCGTACGTGGCCATGGCAGTGGAAGCTGCTTTACGCGCCCATGCTGAGTCCCGCAGGACTTCGGGCGTCGAGGGCTTCTCGCTTCGTAACATGGATATCAAGAAGAAATTGGTCATCCCAGAAGATGACTACGGCGTCGAGATCCTGACGAGCATGGAGCTGGTTGACGAGTCCCCGTCCCAGCCCCCGGCATGGGCGACCTTCTCAATCAGCTCTGTGAAGCGCGATACGGACGAATGGACGGAGCACAGCACCGGCCGCATCAAGATCCATCAAGCCGGGGCTGATAAGCACATCGTCGACAAGCATCAAGTCCATCACGCTTCACGGGCCGTTGACGCCCAACTATGGTACAACAAGTTCCTCGACATTGGCCTCGGCTACGGCCCGGTCTTCCAACCGCTGTCTGACATCCGTATCGACCCGATCTCTGGCGCCACCGTGGCGACTGTTGACCTCCAGCCATCTTCTTCCTCTTCTGCTCTGGCGGGAGGCGAATCACGATATCCGGTCCACCCGGCGTCCTTGGACGGGGCCATCCAGCTGGGGCTGATTGCCTGCCACAAAGGCCGGCCGGACGAGGCCAGCACGGCCTTCCTGCCGGTCCAGATTCCCCGGCTCTACATCTCGAACGGCATCGCGCAAGAAGTGTGCACTGTCACTGCGCGAGGGACGAGGCGGGGGATCCGCAGCGCCCACCTCGACTTGCAGATGCTCGGCCCCGACGGCGAGGTCCTCGTCAGCGTGGAGAAGCTGCGTTGCGTCAGCTACTCCGGCGACGTGAGAGCTGCGGGAGCCGACGATGACGACCTGGCTTTCAGCAGCCCGTTCACGCGGCTCGTCTGGAGGCCCGATATCCGCACGCTCACAAACCCACAGGCCCGCCAGTTGTACCCGCCGCCCGAACAAAACGTGCAGAGGGCGCCTCTCTGGGGAATCACGAACAGGGTGGCTCATCTGGTTATCCTTAGCATATACGAAAGCTTCGGGAAGCGGGTAGCAGACGCACCTAGGCCTTCCGGCGACGTCGGCCACTTCTTTGACTGGGTCAAGAGGAAGGCCCAGAGCGACGACTCGGACGAGATGAGGGAGGCCAGGGAGCTGGCAGCGGCGACGGCGGAGGGCGGCCTCCCGGACAAGATTGACGAGCTGGTCGCCCAGGCCGGCGATGTCGTGGAGGTCCAGATCGCGAAGCTCCTTCATGACAACGCGGCCGACATCCTGTTCGAGCTCCGGACCGGCATGGACGTCATCATCGGCGCGGGCCTCCTGACGCCTCTCTACCAGAGCGGCTTGCTAATGACGGGCATCTATCCGCAGCTGTCGCACGTCCTGGAGGGTCTCGCCCACGCGAGCCCGAACGCGCGCGTCTTGGAGATCGGGGGCGGCACGGGCGGCGCCACGCGCATCGCGATGAAAGCCTTCGCCGGCACCAACGGCGTCAAGGCATACAGAGACTACACGTTCACCGACATCTCTGCCGGGTTCCTCTCGTCGGCGCGCGAGTCCCTGGCCGGGCTCCACGACATGCACTTCTCGGTGCTGGACGTCGAGGCGGACCCCCTGAGTCAGGGGTATGAAGCGCAGGCGTACGACCTCGTCATCGCATGCCAGGTCCTCCACGCCACGTCCAACATGCACAGAACTCTATCGCACTGCCGCCGCCTTCTCCGTCCGGGCGGCAAGCTTGTGCTGGTGGAGACGAACCGCAACTTCACCGTGCCCGGCATCGTCGTGGGCACTTTCACGGGCTACTGGGCCGGGATCCCCGACGGCCGCGTGGATGCCCCGTTCCAGAGCTTGGCCGCCTGGGAATCCTCGTTGCGAGACGCGGGCTTCTCGGGCCTCGACCTGGTGCTCGATGATTTCCCGGACCCGCACAACACCACTTCAGTCATGGTATCTACGGTCCTAGCAGAGCCGAAGGCGCCGCCGCCTCCTCCTCCGTCTGCCGCGGTTCACGTGCTCCACGGCAGCAGCGGGGAGTCATTCATGCGGCACATTGCCGAGGAGCTGGAGCGTCGGGCATTTGAGGTGAGGACTGGCCCGCTCGACGCCGCACCCGACTCCGTCACGCCGGGATCCCGCGTGGTGGCCCTGTGCGACGACGAGCATCTCCTGGCCAACGGAGCCGACGAGCAGGGCTTGCGCGTGTTCCAGCTTCTTTCGCGGACTGCCTCGAGTATGCTCGTTGTTACGAGCTGCGGCGTCGCCAGGGGGCGCAACGCGGACGGCGCCGTGCTCCCCGGCCTGCTGCGCGTCCTCCAGAACGAGAACCCCGCGAGCCGATACGTGTTGGTCGACGTGGACGCGGACGACTTTAACATGGATCCCACTGAGACCGTAGATCTCGCCCGCAAGATCGCTCAGCTGCTCGAGGATGGGCTCGACCACGGCGGGCGCCCAGCGGCGGAAGACGACGGGGAGACGGAGACGGGTCCAGATCCGGACTGTGAGTTCACCTGGCAAGACGGCTGCCTGTGGGTCAGCCGCCACATCCCTGACGGGGGTTTCCACTCGCAGCACGGCCTCGACGGCCGCAAGCTGAAGCCGGAGCTGCTGCCGCTCGGTACCCACGACGGGGGCGTCCGCGCCGCGTTCGAAACGCCCGGGGTGCCCGGCTCGCTGTACTTTAGGCCGTACGACGAGCTCCACCGGCCGATCCCGCCGGGATATATGGATGTCACCGTCGAGGCCGTCGGCGTGAGCGACAGGGACGTGGAAACGTGGACGGGACGTCGGGACGGAGACCACTTCTCGTCCGAGTACGCGGGCGTCGTCATCTCCGTCTCCGGGCCCGGCCCCACTTCTGATCACGACTCCGAGGGCGCGGGACCCACCCACGGCTTTCGGGTCGGCGACCGCGTCTACGGCCTGGGTAAAGGGCAGCTCGGTAACCGCACACGCGTCCCGGCCGCCTTCGCCTGCAAGCTCGCGCCGGGCCACGATATCGTGGGGGCAGCCTCGATGCCCCTGGCGTACGCGACGGCGGTGTACGCCCTGGACCACGTCGCCCATCTGCGAAAGGGCCTGTCGGTGCTCGTCCAGGCGGGCGCCGGCGACGCGGCGACGGCGTCCATCATCCTGGCGAAGGCCAAGGGGGCCGATGTGTTTGTCGTCGCCGAAACGCCCGAGCAAACCAGCTTTCTCGTCGACAACCTGGTCGTTCCGGCTTCGCACGTCATCGAGGGGCACGGCTTAGATCGGCTCCGGCAGGCCGCACGCAAGACTCGCAGAGGCGGGTTCAACGCCGTCATCTGCACTTCCGACTCCGGCAGCGACGTCCCGTCCGCGCTGTTGGAGGTGCTGGCGCCCCTGGGACGGCTCATCGACATCGGAGGCCGTGGGGCCGACTCGCAGACGCTTGAATTGCTTCCGCCCATGGCAACCTACTCCGTGATCGACGCCCTCGCCATTCTCGACGCGGACCCGTCTCTTGGCGCAGAGCTCATGGAGAGCGTGGGCGACTACCATCGCAAAGGCCTCATCGGGCCTCTCCCGGGGCTCACCGCGGTCGATGTCGGCCGCCTGCCCTCGGCGCTGCGCGACGTGGCCGACAAAGCGCCGGAAAAGCTCGTTGTCGGCTTCCAGGACCTCGGGAGCCTCGTCCGGATGGTCACACCAGCCCCGGCTGCCAGGCTCGACCCGGAGGCCTGCTACGTCGTGACCGGAGCCCTGGGCGGCGTGGGGCAGTCGCTGGTCGGATGGATGGCCGACCGGGGCGCGAGGTACCTGGTGCTCCTCTCTCGACGCGCAGCTACGAGCGTCCCCGGGGCTGCAGAGCTCATCTCGTCGCTCGCCGGCCGCGGCATCCAGGTCGAGTGCTTCTCCTGCGACGTCAGCAACAAGCAGGACGTGGCCGATGTCATGCAGCGCGTCTCGTCGCGCCGGTCCGTCAAGGGCGTCGTCCACGCCGCCGTCTCATACCTCGACCTCAGCTTTGATAAGGTCGAGGCCGGTCGGTGGCGCGAAGGCCTGGCGGCCAAGGTTCAGGGCACCAGGAATCTGCACGAGGCCACGCTGGCGATGCCCCTCGACTTCTTCGTCATGATCACCTCGGCCCTCTCGCTCTACGGCTTCGCAACGCAGGGCGCGTACACGGCCGCCAACAGCTTCCAGGACGCTTTCGCGAGGTACCGCCGACGGCTGGGCCTCCCCGCGTCGACCGTGTCTTTCGGCCTCATCAGAGAGGCCACGGCCGTGGGCACCGACGCGACAACGATCGACCTGTTCGAGCGCAACCGGGCGGCGACGCTGAGCGAGTCCCGGTTCCTGACGCTCCTCGGGCCCGCGTTCCTCGACAACCAGACCTCACACGCCGCGGACCCGGCCCAGTGGTCCGGCCGGCAGCAAGACCCCCTCTCATGCGCGAACCTGCACACGTACCTCGACCCGCGGGCAATGGCCAGGAAGAGTGGCAAGGCCTCTTCGTCTGCGGCTGGCGTTGCTCCGCGCTGGCACGGCGACGCGCGCGCCTCGCTGATGATGCGCGCCGCACGCGACTGCCAGCAGCTCTCCGACCAGCTCGACGGCTCCCCCGGCGAAGCATCACTCAGCACTACAGCGCTCCTGCGTGCCGAGTTGGCGGCGGCCATCGCGGAGGGGGCGGCTGGACGGTCCTCCGCCGTCGCTCTCGCGCAGGGCGCCATCGTCAAGGCGGTCGCCGAGATGCTGTTTATCGACGCCGAGAGCATCGACCCGGCTAAATCGGTCGCGGACCTGGGCGTCGACAGTCTGATTGCGGCCGAGCTGCGCAACTGGTTCCTGCAGGCGCTCGGGGCCAATATTAGCATGCTGGACCTGCTCGACCCGGCCGTGGGTATCAGCAGGCGGGCTGCCGACATCGTCGACGGGGCATTGTCACAGTCTTCGAAGGCATGAAGGGAAGTTGGGGGGTGTCTTCAGATTGGAAAGGGGCGCTTTACTCTTTGATGTGGATTTCAAAGTTCTACGAAATTGTGTGATATCGATCTTCAACGTTTCTTTCCCACGGAGTTAAAGTAGTTCACAGTTTAATTATGTAATAAGAAATTTAAATACTCGTCATCTCAGTACTTGATAGACCAGCTAGTGTCAAGTATATGTTACAATGACAGAAGTCTTTCTTTGCTGCAGTACTTGAGTAGCTTCATGTTTTCACAGGAGTCACGCCTAGAAATGCCTGGCAAAGATGGCATGCAAGATGTTCCTTGTAATATATCTACCGGCTAGTTCTCCAAAAGACGGCTCTTTTCCTAGACATGAGTTTCGAGTCTCGTCTCACAACGGCTTCCTTGCCGTACACACGACCCTCGGGACACAGAGGGCGGCGCCACTCACGGCCTCGGCGTGGGCATCCTCGACAATGCGGAAGTACTTGGCCGCCGACTCGGCATTGCCCAGCTTCGCGAGCCCCTCGGCGAACTCCTCGGCGGTGAGCAGGTGCTGGTCGTTGAAGGCGCGAGCCAGGTCGGGCCCGTCCCCGACAAAGTCCGTCTTCGCGTCAACAAAGCCCTCTTCGGCGACGAAGTCGGCCAGCCGGACGGTCCAGTCGTGCCGTCCGCCAGCCCGGGTCCAGTCTCGCAGCTGGTCGAGGCCCAGTGTTGGCATGGCCGGGTCGACCTTCTTGACGGAGACGTTGACCGTGTCGAGCTCGTCCCACTGCAGGCGGCCGCCGGGCTTCAGCAGCTTACCGAGGTTCCTGATGACGGGCCGGGGGTCCTGCGACTCGACGACGAGCAGCAACAGCCGCGTGTGAACGTAGTCGTACCTGCCGACCAGGTCGTCCGGGATGTCGTGGAGTATGTTCAGGTGCCGCACACGGACGTTGGGCGGCAGCCATTGCGCGTGGGGAGACTGGCGGAGGTCGTAGTCGAAGCCGTCCAGCCGCGCCTCCGGCAGCTCCCGGGCGACGTCAATGAGCCAGATGGCGCTCCCCGAAGCCACGTCGGCGATGGCGGCGGTGCTGGGGAGCGACGACTTGATGGAGGGATGGATGTTGAAGTTGAGAGCAGACCGCCAGAGGTAGAATTGGAGATTCAGACGGGCGGCGGCCGAATGGCTTCGGTCACGGTTCAAAATGTAGCCATGGCCGTTTGTCAGGGTCCAGTCCGTTGCTTCTGCGTCCTTTTCCTGCATCATTGTTGCTGCTGATGTTGGGTTGCTGGGAGGGCTCACAAGTCAGTTGGTATTGTTTTTGTCCTTTTCGACACATTCAATCGACCTGGAAACCGCATATCTGGTTCTTTGTTCTTCTTGAGATGAGTAACAATGTCTTCCTCGCACCCTGGTCACTCCTTGGCCACCCATAATGGACTCAGCAGGCTCAAAGGCTGGAGCGCGGGCGCGAAATGGTGTTGCGACTCGGCTCAGTCGCCCGAAGCGCAGTCAGCCTTGACGGATGAGACACCTGTCAGATTAGGCTACATCGGCCGACATACTGCGTCTAAGTATTGAGTCTCGCCTACGCAGGTAAGCCAATAATATGAATCACCTCGCATCGGGCGACATATGTCGGGCGTCGGCTGATGCACCCGCAAGGGGGATGTTTGCAAGACTCGGAACCAACAAACAACCAACAAGTTTGCACTTAGACGAGATGAAAAGCGGCACAGGAATGGATTACCAAGCAAATTTTGTTGACGGTTCGCAGGCTGCAGCAGAGTCGAGTATTGAAAAGGCCGCCGGATAAGACGGGTTAAAGCAATAGCTTACTAGCTCACTCAGAACTTACTCACTCGCAATCTCACTCACCCACTCGTCTCCAGATCGATCTATCCTCTCCATCACACACATTCCACTTCACTGTCAGCCAGTGACCACCACCGGCGCTACCACAGCCCCCACAAAATGGCATCGTTCCTCATCACCGGCGCCTCCCGAGGCTTTGGCCTGGCACTTGCCCGCGAGCTGGCCTCCCGCCCGGCCTCCGAGGTGGGCACCATCATCGCCTCAGCCCGCGGAGACTCCCCTGACTTGAACGAGGTCGCCAAGGGCTCCTCCGGCCGCGTCGTCGTGGTCAAGCTCGACGTCACCGACGATGCCTCCGTCAAGAAGGCCGCGGCCGAGGTCGAGGAAAAGCTTGGCGGTAAGGGTCTCGACGTCCTGATCAACAATGCAGGCGTCTGCCAATACGCGACCGACGGTACCAAGTCCATGTAAGTTGAAATTCATTTCATGCTTCCTCTGATCCCTCATCCGCCCACCCACTTGGCTGCTTGACTAACACGCCTGTCAAAAAGGGAAAACCTTCAGGAGAGCCTCGACATCAATGTCTTTGGCGTCCACAGGGTCACAAAGGCCTTTCTTCCTCTGCTACAGCAGGGCAAGCTCAAGAAAGTAGCCAACATGTACGTTATCAAACCAGAGACCCCAGCGCATCCTTCTGTTCCACTTTCTGACCCAGACCTCGCTTGCTCATACACAGCTCGACCACCTTCGGTTCTCTGGCCATCATGCCATACGTCCACTTCATGCCCGCCCCGTCCTACAAGATCTCCAAGGCCGCCATGAACGCCCTCACGGTCCAGTACGCCCTCGACCATGCCAAGGAGGGCTTCTCCTTCATGGCTCTCTGCCCCGGCGTACGTCCACCCCTCTTTTCTTATTCCTCGTGTCGTGTCAATGAGCGCTGGCTGATGAACTCCTTTTCGCTTGTTTAGTGGTTGAAGACCGACCTCGGCGGAGGCGACATGGCAGACCTGACCCCCGAGCAGGGGGCCAAGGCTTCGCTGGACATCATCTACAAGCCTAACGAGCAGACCAACGGCAAGATGCCTAAGGTGTTTGTCAAGGGCTGGGAGGATGCGAAGGGCCCCAACGTCTACGATGGCACTGACGTCCCCTGGTAAACCGGTCCAGCTGATGACGTTGAAATCGTATTGAATGATTTCGGGGCTCCAAGTTGCCGCTGGAGTGGGCTTAGACCGTACCAAGCCTCACCGGCCTGTGATACGCTTCCCTAGCAATGATCCCGTAGTTGCAGAGAATAAACAAATAAAAGACTTCTGAAATTCCCTGGTTCTTTTTTTTTCTCTTTTTTTTCCATTTTCCTCTTGTCTCTTTGTAGGAAGAAAAGGAAAGGCTGCGTGGGTTTGCTCAACGTCTTCCCTGACACTATGTTGCTTCTCTACGCAATACACCTGTTGGCTACCTCAATAATAGCTGATCGGCCTCAGTAGAGATCGTGAGTCGAGAAACGCCGCATGCGGGTCATGAATTTGATTTAGCCGTCCAACACCGCCAGTCTAAACATTGAATCTAAAGATACATGATACGTAATTACGGGTGATGTTCGCTAAAACGAGTGGTCGCCCCAAAAGTCCCCGCTCTGTGTGTAACTGGCAATGTTTGCCGCGTCAAACGAAAGCCACTGAGACACATCGGCCGAGGCCGGCGGCGTCCCTGTCCCGCCGCCAGCCACGAAACCGACCGCCAGGCGGTGATGGCCCGGAAGGTCGGGCCCTCCGTGCAACCACGACGCCGACAGGCTTCCCACAACCGTCGACTCCCCGGTCTCCTTGCCGAACTCCCCGTCCACGTCCTCCTCCCGGGTCCCAGGGGTCGTCGCCGCGCTCCTGGAGGCGGCCGCGGAGAAGCTTTCGCCCTCGGACAGCCTGCCCAGCAGCTGGCCCAGGGTGCTCGCGCCAAGGTCCGCCATACTGCTGACCTCGGCCAGCATCTTCAGCCGGTCCAGGCCGCCCCGAACGGCTTGCAGACACGCGGAGCGCGAGAGCCCGGGGATTCCCGCCTGCAGCGGATCGGCGGCCTCCTCGTGCGGCGGCGGCGGCGTGGGAGGAGAGTAAGAGGTCTCTTGACGCTGGCGCTCGCCGGGGAACGAAGGGTCCGCGAGCAGAGACAGGAGCAGGACGGTCGCTTCAAAGGTCGAGATGACAATGCAGGCCAGCCGCGTGTGGCGGCCCCCGAGCAGCGCGTGGAGCTGCCCGACGCTGTCGAGGGCATGCAGAGCGGCGACGGCTAAGCTCTTCTTCTGGAAGCCCAGGAGAACGGCCTTGTACTCCGGCAGGGGCGCGGGCCGGCGCAGGAGCAGCGGCCGGAAGTTCCAGCACAGCGAGTCATACACGGCCGTGTGGAGGAGTTGCCGCTGGAGGGGCAGCCGAGGGAACTGCTTGTCCCGAGACTCATCGGGCCTCACGAGGGCGAAGCTCGGCGTCAGCTGCGGAAGGAATTCGCGGCAGAATTGGTCGTAGCGCTCTCCGGCCGTCATGGCGTCGTACTCGACGCCGCTCGGGGGACTCACGCTGCGCCAGAAGTCAGCCAGGCGTGCCTGCAGGAGCCGCTCGGTGAATGGATCGACGTCCTGCTGCAACTGCGGCTGGGCACCGTGGGCGAGGCGTCCCGGAAGGAACGGAGCGCTGTCCAGCTGGCGGGAGAGCAGACTGTCGGCAATGTAGAGGTTGCAAAAGACCCTCCGGGCCATCTCCCGGTCGACCTCGTCGGCGGCGGCGACGACGCGGGTGTTGCAGTGCATGCCGACGTTCTGGGCGACGCGGATGGCGCGGCCCAGGGCCTCGGCGTAGGCTCTCATGTTGCCTTCGGCCTGGTACTTAAGCCCCAGGAAGGCGAGATGCTGCGCTCTGACGGGCGAACCCCGGCTGTCGGCGGCGGCGCTGATGGCTTCGGTCTTGTCGGCCGCGTCGTTGAAGGCCTCGCGCAGGTCGGAGAGTAGCTCTCCACGAATGCGGTCGAGGGGGTAGGCTGGGGACGGCAAGAACTGCAGTGCGTAGGAGCATATCCGCAGCACCAGGACGGCGAACTCGACGTCCGGGGCACGCTTGGCCCACTCGGCGGCGTTCCATCTCTGGTACTTTTCCAGAAACCATGGGCCGTGGACCAGCTGATCCATCCTGCCGGCCGCGAGACGTTAACTACCGTGTTAGGAG